AGAGTGTCTCAACCTAAACTAAAACCTAAACTAAATCTGTTATGTAAATGTTATCTGCAGTTTTTTCTGACAATAAAAAATGCACTAAATACACTAGACAGAAATCATGAAAAACACTTTTTCTAACTAAAAAATTGGTTCGCTCTAGCTCTACGAAAAAAGCAGTTATCGCGCTTCTATTGAATAAAAAGTTTAATATTAATGATTCGACAAAATGTCAATAAATTGTATGGTATTATCAGATACTTAGGATATAATATCTAAGAGTGTCTCAACATGCGTACTTCTCGCCAACTTAGGTATACAGTTTATTTTATCCCCAAACTATGCGCATATTTTGAGGAATTTAATTTTGCAATGTTGTAGAGAAAAAAAAAGTTATTTTGTCTTCAAATTATGCTCTGTGTATATAATTATAGCACTAGAACTATGTTTAACGCATACTTTGAGTACTTAACCTTTCTACTCAGGCAAAGAAAAAATAATGTATTTTTTGGTCCCCAAAATATGCGCTGTATATGGAAATATTGGTTCTCTAACTATACTTTGTACATAAGAAGAAAATACTTGTCCAACATGCGGACCGTCTCAACGTGCGTATATCTCTCCTACTTTGGTATACATTTTTTTATCCCAAACCATGCGCATATTTTGAGGAATTCCATTTTGTAATGTTGTAGAGAAAAAGTTATTTTGTCTTCAAATTATGCTCTGTGTATATAATTATAACATTAGAACTATGTTCAATGCTGTGTTCAGTACTTAACATTTCTAGTCAGGCAACGAAAAAATAATGTATATTTTGGTCCCTAAAATATGCGATGTATATGGAAATATTGGTTCTCTAACTATGCTTTGTACATAAGAAGAACATACTTGTCCAACATGCGGACCTTCTCAACGTGCGTATATCTCCCCTACTTTGGTATACATTTTCTATCCTAAACTATGCACATATTTTGAGGAATTCCATTTTGTAATGTTGTAGAGAAAAAGTTATTTTGTCTTCAAATTATGCTCTGTGTATATAATTATAGCATTAGAACTATGTTCAATGCATACTTTAAGTACTTAACATTTCTAGTCAGGCAACGAAAAAATTATGTATTTTTTGGTCTCCAAAATATGCTCTGTATATGGAAATATTGGTTCTCTAACTATGCTTTGTACATAAGAAGAACATACTTGTCCAACGCATACTTTGAGGTCTTGAAAGTCGTAACTTTTTTACTATGTCCAACGCTTTTTTTGGGGTCAGTTCCCAAATTATGCCTTAAAACTCAGGTCCTCAAAGTATGCATTTTTCAGTTTTTTGGTTATCTATTGTTTATTTATGAATATCTATTAAAACTATTTTAAGGGAGTATTGCTGAACACCTAATAAACCTATAGACGCAGGAAAAAATGGGTGTCCTAAACTATGCGTTGTACACACACATATATATTGATAACAATATATCATATAATATAATGATATATTATATATATCATATATTATATCATATATTATTATATATATCATTTATTATATATATAATGATATATTATATAAATCATATAATATATCATATTTGATAACAATATAATATATATATTATAAATATACATATTCTATTTGTCATTGCTGTCTAGAGCTAAGAAAATACGTTGTGAGGTTGCGCGTGTGTGGGGATGGTCGGCGGCAACTCACACATGCCTGTGCGGACACCAAACCACCAATTATGGACACCAACGCACACACTGGTTTCCCCGGCTACAGAACTAATACCTTGACGGTTTTCATGCTACAGACACCAACACAAGCGCGCTATGCTTGCCTCCAATCGCTACCTTGTTGTGCGTAGAACTTTCCTTTCCCCTCAGGGCCCATAAGCTGTAGAATACAGCTTCAAAACAAACGCACGTGCGTTACAGCTGACGCAAACTACAAGGCTTGCATGCCTTATGACATTTGAACTTATGAATCAAGTCAGATGCACATAGAAACAACTTAACAATAGTTAAACATTTTGTTGTAAACATTGTTGTTACAACAAAATGTTTAACTATTGTTAAGTTGTTTCTATGTGCATCTGACTTGATTCATAAGTTCAAATGTCGTAAGGCATGCAAGCCTTGTAGTTTGCGTCAGCTGTAACGCACGTGCGTTTGTTTTGAAGCTGTATTCTACAGCTTATGGGCCCTGAGGGGAAAGGAAAGTTCTACGCACAACAAGGTAGCGATTGGATGCAAGCATAGCGCGCTTGTGTTGGTGTCTGTAGCATGAAAACCGTCAAGGTATTCTTAATTTTCTGCTATTACACAGAATTTTAAATGGCGCAAATAGCTGTCAATAATCACAACTGAAATGTGGGCCAAAATTTCAGTTTTTCTTCTTACTGCTGAAACAACTTTTTCGAAATACGCGACATTATATAAAAAATTTTTTTTAAATTTTTTTTTGTTTTGGTTAGAGATAGATTTGTTATTAATTTTTTTTACCATCTAGAAGTCAAATATAAAATAAGTTATTTATTGAATTTCAAAATTTCAAATTATTCTGTTTGTTCTTCAATTGTATATCATTTTTAATTATTTAAGAAGTATCTTATATTAACCTATTTGTCCAATAGATTTTTATTAATTACATTTAATAAACCTTTTAAATATCGAAAGAAAAATCATGTTAACGAATCTGTAATATCCGAAGAAAAATAGTGAATTTTATTGATATTGTACGTCAGGAATTTTAGCCCAAGTACACATTTATGAAACAATTGAACCATTGCAAAGAAAATTGTAAAGGCAATTCTTTTAAAATTAAATTAAGAAATTTGAATTGAGAAGACGGAATCAAAGAAAATTCAGACCCAAGAGCAAGCATAATAACCCTAGAAATCAATTATTGTTATTGATAACACAAGTCAACATGAAATTTGCGCCTGACATTTAAGATATTTTTAATGATAGATTTAGCGATAGATATGAGGAAAAAAATTATATTTTATCAAAAAGTTTGCTTTTGTATATTGGAGAACGTTTTTACCATATTTTTAAAAATTTATGATTTTCTGAATGAAATGGTCAATCAAAAATCTGTAAAGTACGTAATAAAACGTACTTTACAGATTTTTAATTGACCATTTCATGAGTATTGCATGAGTATGCATGTGCAAAATAAATATATATTTTTTAAATTTTATTAAAAAATAGTGGCTGTGCAGCATTTCATTAAAAAGCGTCTCGTTTCAGGATTCCACGGCCAGACAACTAACGTCCTTAATTTTTGATCTGGAAAAAAACGAAATTGTTTTTATTTTCTATACATCAACAGCTATCGACACACGAAGGTTTTCTTATATTACTTACTTTTATTTTTATCAACAATTTTTAGAATTTTTTTTGTTGGAAATTGTCATTTTTTTGTTCAATCACGCACCATTTTGCAAAAGATCAAAATATCGAAAAATTCCTACGTGTATTGATAGCTGTTGATCTATAGAGAATGACAACATTTTGGTTATTTTTAAATTTAAAAGTGAGGACGACGTTAGTAAGTTGTTCAGCTATGGAACCCCAAAAAACAGACGTCTTCCAATAAAATTCTGCAATGCAGCCATTATGTAATGAAATTTTTTTGAAAAAATATAGTTTGCATATATTGATATGCAAATCATGGAATAAAACGTACTTTACAGATTTTTAATTTGTTATTTCATTGAGCCAAAAAAAATTCCTAAAATATGCCTAATTTTCGTGATTTCCCCCATTAACATGTTTGCAACTACTACAAAAGCAAACTTTAAAAAGAATATGTATATATTTCGTTTATTTTAGTGAATAATAAATTAAAAAATCATTATACAAACCCAGGCGCAAAATTTTTTCGTTTTTTTGTTGAGCTGTGTAAGTCTACGTCCTGCGTAAGATTGGTAAAGTTTATTAGTTTATGTTTTCAACCACCGCGCGAAGACTAATCGTCAGGCGGCTGCTACAGTCAGCAGCGGCGGCCACCTTCGTTGAACATTCGTGCGCTCTGCGAGTGGTGCTATTAAGAAAATTGTTAATAAATCCCCCAAAATAAATGCAATTTTTTCTTAGGACATAGATAATTGTTCTCCAGAGCAAAAGCTACAATTTTCTCTGTAAGGTCAATTGTTACGAATTTTTATCGCAAATACCCCAAAATTGGCTTTAAAGTAGGGCACTTCGGAAATATTTTATTTTATTTATTTTCATTTTTATTTATTTATTTATTTTTTACTTAATTAATTCTTGTAAGAGAATTTAATCATTTATAAAACAATTAAATTCTTGCAATTATTTTGTAACTTCTACAAATTCAATATATTTAGTGTTTTCAATTATAATACTGTTCCATAAATCCATTATAATTAATAATTAATTAAATATGTTCTGAGAATTTAATCAGTTTGAAATTAAATTAATTCAAAATTAAAGTTTGATAAAAATTTCAAATTGAATCCGCTTGAAGTTTATTTGTTTATGGAAATTGTAAACGTAACCCCCTTTTTCTTTTAGTTGAATTAGTTTTGAATGAGGCCCCTGTGTAAAATTAATAAAGTCTACAAGTTTATGTTCTCAGTCACCACGCGAAGGCCGTTCGTCAGGCGGCTGCGATGGTCGTCGGCGGCGGCTACCTTCGTTGAGCATTCGTGCGCTCGGAGAGTGGTGCTACTGAGAAAATTGTTAATAAATCCCCCAAAATAAATGCAATTTTTCTTAGGACATAGATAATTGTTCTCTAGAGCAAAAGCTACAATTTTTGCTGTAAGGTCAATTGTTACGAATTTTTATCGCAAATACTCCAAAATTGGCTTTAAAGTAGGGCACTCCTGAAATTGACCTTAATGGTATTAGAAGTAAAATTCTGTTTTCTCAGCCTTTTCTTGGGAACTCAATCAGGCATCTTTGCAAGATTAAAACAATGTATAAATTTAAAGAAAAAAAATATATATTTTTTTTAATATAACATTAACTTATACGCAGGTGTTTTCAAAATGAGTCTCAGATCAACCCGATCCCAACAATTACCATTAGAGGAGGGATTAGTCTTTTCCGAGCGTTCGCGCACGACTAATGGACGGCCTGACCTATACGGTCAATTGGATCAAGAATATTTTGATGGAAAACTGTCAGCTGCAGGATATACGATAGCATGGGGACGGAAGATGAAAGAGACCTCTGGGTATACTGACTTGCCCTTACGCATAGTTCGGATAAGTTGGGAGATCCATAAGCTTCTTCCTCATGAAGAACTGATTGGAACAATACTTCATGAGATGATTTATGTTAAGCTGTTCTATCACAGGAACGACGTTGAAAGTTACCGTCACATCGGCGAATTTCGGAAAGAGATGAAACGCATTAACGAAATTAGACCCTACCGGGCATGATATTAACCACCTAGGTTGTTTCAAGTATTTTATCAAAATTATTAAGTGAAACATGCATTTAAGTTAAACATGCATAAAATTTCCTTTTTAGGTAGTCGCTTATCACAACCTTCCGCGAAAGGTGATCTACCAATTGCGTCCGTACGTGTGGAAGTGCAAGAGCTGTAAATACATTATACGGATGACTGACTCTCGAAAGCCTGGATTAAAGAGTGGCCATTGCATAAGGGGGCAAAAGCGTTGCGCGAAACCTTCGTGGATTAAAATTAAATAGTCGATTAACTATACGACTACTTAGGATACGCTTCTCCCCTTTTTGTCATTGTACAAACAAATAAAATAAAAATAAATCTGTCATAATTAAGGTTTTAATTAATTAATTTTTTTTTAATAAATAAGTTCTTTAAACTATCTTCTTTTATATAAAATAGGAATTTTCTTAGTCAAGTAGTAATAAAATTAAAACAAAATCTTTATATTATTAGAATAAGAAAAGATTTCAATATTGAATTTACATCAAGCATGAAAAAATTTTAATTTGAATTAGAAAAAAAAATTTTTTTCTTTAGATATATATGTGTATATAAAAAAACCCTATATATATATTTTCCTTTCATGATAAACCTGCGAAATCGGGTTATTTCGGGTGGCGATTTTGAACGTCTGTTAGGGTCGTTGTAAGCACTAACCTCTTTAAGTCGAAGATCTTCCGTGTTGTCTTGCGGGGTTATATTTGGCGGGAACTACTGGCGAAAAGGTGGTTGGTGATTCTTTCCCAATGTAGTCTCCTCTACCTGGATCCCACGTAGCTTGAAACCTAACCCTTCGGTTAGTCATCTGATCTTCACTGATGGCCTATCTTCGAACGTTGCAGACTTTATCCCCTTTTTCGGTGTAGTTGTTGGTTCGGTTGAGGTTGTCCTTGATTGTACGGTCACTTCTTTGTTGGCAGCGGTTTTACTTGTAGAAGGGACATCCTCGTATAATCCAGCAATATCCTTGTGTGTTGGAGTTTTAATCAACGGTTTCCTTCGCTGTGGCATTTGGATATTCTCATCTCTTGGCCTTGAGAATATTGATTGAGATAGTTTATATGTCCCAGTTTTCAGCGGTGATCGACACAAATACATAAGAAGAAATGCACATAGGAGAATAATTCCTCCATATGATACGTAAATCAAAGTCGAGTGTCTTCCTTGATTATGTTGCTGTAAGGCGAACTCTTAAAGCTGTTGTTCTAGTTTATCTAGGGTTTTGGAATTCAACTCGAATGCTGATAACTTCGGGTTAATTTCGAGGATGGACTTCGTTAAGACTCTGGTACTCTCAAGCAGGTGATTATATTTTAGTAGTGTTGGGGAAAGTTTTGTTAAGTTTAAATGTAGATCTGATTTAAAAATAAATTCTGATTGACCAGCTTGTGAGGTGGTGGCTGGAATTATGGCGTTCTTGGTTTTGAGAGAGCACCCTGGACCCACTTTGAGGATCCCAACTTCGCTCAGCATGATCTTGATTGGACTCATGGAATGGCCTTTAAGGCAGGCGTGAAAAGATGTTGTTGTTTTGCACAAATTCCATTCCTGCTCCTTTAACAAGAGGTGTGTTCGCTGATCCTCGTCAATAATAAGGTAATCATATTCAGATTTTATGTATGCTCTTCCGGTGCCATTTTCGAGCATTTCTTGAGTGGTCGGAAGTGAGTGTAATTTAAAGGCTTGATAATTATATTTTTCTAGGAGTAGTATGTCGATGAGGACCTTAAGTTGATGATTTTCGCACAAGAAGGTGATGGTGGAGATTCGCATCAGTTCGTCGATGCTGATCCTAGGTCCGGTCAATGGAAACTGAACATCCTTGAGGTTATCCTGCAGTTCTCGCAGAATTGGTTCCAGTTGTTCGGATGTTATGAGGCCGGGGTGTAGATATCCTTTCCTGGCTTTATGAACTGCTTCTAACATAGTGGTAGTGGCCTGCATGTTGTGATCGAGGCCCAATCTTAATGCCTTGGCGATGGCATATGTTAGATTTCTTCTCTCCATTTCTGCTTTCGACTTAGTACTCCCTACGGCAATCAGGACTTGGAGTTGTTCCTGTAGTTCCTTCAGCAAGGATCCATGTTGTTGTACCTGGGAGTGCAGCGAATCGAGTTGTGATCTCACTACGTGGGTTTGGTTTCCCACCAGGTGTGACAAGTTGGACTGGGCTTCGTTGAGATCTTGGATGGCAGCACTATATTTTTCTCCATCATCATAGGTCAAAACGCCGACGATTGGTCCTGGAATCTTTCCCAGAAATCCCAATAGTGGGACTGAACGCCTTGCTCGTAGTTGGGTGGTCATCTTGGTTGGTAAGGTCTTGTTAATATTTTCCAATTCTTCGATCTGGACTCGAAACTGTTTTTGAAGTTCTGAGGCCATTTCCCATTTATCTTCCCAGTCATAGTATTCGACTAATTCGTTGCACCATTCCTCATCAGGTTTACACTGCTGTTTTAGTCGCTGCAGCCTGCTCCTTTGGTCGTCAAAGAATCGAGTCTGCTTGCCCACGTCCAGGAATACGGCAATCCTCCAGTTGCTGACGGACCTCCTGACTTCTCCGATATATTCGAAATATATCCCGCTGCTGGACTTGAAAGGAGTGATCTGGTAACGATCACTGGCGGTAGTCATCTCCACATCGTGGGAATAGGTCTGCTTCGTTGTCAACACTAGGATGGAGAAAAGGCATAGCATGGTTATGGCAGTAGTCGGCATCTTTCCTTGAGTTAGTCTAAAATGAGAAAATAAGTTAATAACGGATCTAGAGCTAGGGTCTAGGTCTTATAATCTGGTTGCTCTGACCTTGTCCCTATGCTTCGCGAATCTTTCACCGTTTTTGGTTTCAAGGATCACATTGTTATTTTCTGTGAATCCTGCAAGGGTGTATGGTCCTTCTGCTCGCTTGTCGAACTTATTAGACCGGACTTCTTTAAAGACATACACCTGGTCGCCTATTTTGGCATTCAAAGGTCGTGCCTTACGATCGTAGATTTCTTTTGACCGTTGTTTTGATCGAACTAAATATTTAGCAGCTAAATTTTGTAGTTCGTTCATCCGTGTAATTAAGTCCTTCAGATAGGATCCATACGTTTCGACTTTGAGTCCTTGAGGTAACGAACTAGGTGCTTTAGCCAAATGTCCAAACACGAGTTCGTATGGGGTAAAATTGTTTGCCTCATTAACGGACGTATTATAATTAAACATCGCGAACGGAAGCAAACGATCCCTATCGTCAAAATCCTTCGCGTAATGTTTAATATAATCCGTCAGTTCGATGTGACTTCTCTCAAGTGCCCCGTTAGTTTGTGGGCGGTAACCAGATGTCGTAAGTTGTTTAACGCCAAAGATTTTTTCCAACTTACGCATCAGGGTGCTAACAAAACTTGCTCCTCTATCCGTTAGAATGCAACGAGGTGCTCCAAACACTGAGAATAAGTTCGTAGCATCATTGTCTGTATCCTGTATTCGTCTGGGTTTCATGCCCTGGTTCCTCGCAGTGATCTCCTGGTTAGTGTTGACACTTTCATCCTTAAATTTCGTGAATGGGGTGGATTGTGCACGTGGGATAGTTGATGGCCCTGGAGTAGATAGTTCGGTTTCCATTCGGAGCGTTTGATCATCTATAGAATGTTCAAAGACTTCTGGGATATCCTTGAATCTTACCGTACTTTGTCTCCTTGGTTTGGTGGATTTGCTAGTTAGAGGAGTTTCCTTTTGTGATTCTTCCACCGTGGTGGGCAATTCAGGTTGCTCACTTGAAAACTCTTCCGATTCAGTTAATTTTTTCGCTCTACTCCGATTGAAGTCGTCCAGAAATTTCTTTACTCTTTTGGAGAGTTTATCATCGGTTCCAACGGCAGGATCAAGAGATTCTTAATAGTCCAGATGTTCTTGATCTTCTTCACCATCAGAAACATATTGTCTTCGTGGACTATGGTCTAGGCCTTCGTAATCCCAAAGTAGAGTGTTGTTTGTTGGATTGGAGAAATTTAATCCAGCGTTCGCAATCGATCGATCGAATCTATTGACAGAGTCTCATACACTCTGAATTAGTTGTTTAGCGTTGGACGGTGATCGTTGTCCTGCGTTCTGATCATCTGATTCGCTGGTTTCGTCATAGCTGTTATCAATTTGGCGTCGACCTTCGATGATCATTTCTTCTAGAGGTAACTCCTCAGGTTCCGATTCCGATGATGGCGATGAATCCGGTTCTGGGTTTTTCAGAGCTTCTTCTCTAGCAATACGATCCGCGTTCTCGTTGCCAATGATGCCCTCATGTCCAGGAATGTGCTTCCAAACAACGTCAAGAGGTTCAATAGCCTTGATTAATCGTTCGTAAGGCTTCCTATTCTTTACTGGTTTGTTCTCTGTTGTCCTCCAATCGTTCTATTTCCATTTCGGTATCCATTCCTCAACGCTCTGCACCAAGTATCGGGAATCTGTTTTGATCCTTAGTTTCTTGATTCCCGCATTTTGATGGAGTAGTATGGACAGGAAGATGAGGGAAAGCACTATAGTCTTCTCGGAACACCGGGGATCCGAATCTTCATCTGTTCCTTCCTCCGATTCTTCGACGAGGAGGTTCCTTGGCAGCCGTCTTAGTGGGATTTGACTTAAGTTTAATAGGAGGACCCTTTGAACTGCTTGGTTGTCCTGAGCTGGTACTTGGTTCAGGATTCTTTGGACGTTTTAAGATTGTTTTTCTTGGTTCCGTTACCCCTTTTGGTGCCGTGGTAACGGAGGGTCGACGAGGAGGTTCCTTTCCTGAACGTTTTGGAATAAAAAACTTCTGTGTAGTCCCAAGGTTGGAGGAAGGTCCAGGTCAGTGGCTTCGTTTGTTTTGGTTTGAGTTTTTCTTGTAAACTACCAAATCGCTGTCGGGTTGTTGACGCGCTGGCTTTTTCAGTTCCTTCGGACTTTCTTTCTTTATCCCTTGGGTTCACTCGCGCACTTTCTTTCGCT